GAAGACTAATGAAGACAAATCTTTCCCATTCCTACTTAAGTTTAAAATTGAACTTTTGAAGTTCAGCAACTAAAAGAATAAAGAAAAGGAAGAGAAAGAAGAACTGAAAAGAAAAAACAATTGTAGTTTTAAATGATTAAAACCAGTTAGTAGTATACAAAACATTAATTTTACTATTGTTGTATAGACTGGGCACTTAAAACAAATGACTTTAAAATTCCAAAAATTCTGGACAAAATATGAATGTCTTTCGAGATGCTAAAAATAGATTAACTTGAGCGCCAGTTGCCCCACTCTGTGGAAGGCATTCTCTTGGTGGGGCTACAAAGGAGAAGGTCCCGTTAGCCAGCTACCTAACTTCATTGAGTTGAGACAGCAAAGGAACATGAACAGCACATAAGAATTGTGCTGTCTTCTGCTAATTTCTATTAGGAAAGAAAAATAGAAGGGTATTCTATTTTCTGTGCTTATAGCCTACATTTTAATGCAATAAAGCTGGCCTTCCCTGTCTATTTGTGATGTATATAGATAACAGATAATCAGAGTTGGAAGGGACCTTGTAAGTCATCTAGTCCAACCCCTCACCCAAGCGGGAGGCCTTATACCATTTCTGACAAATGGCAGTCCAATCTCTTCTTGAAAGTCTCAAGTGATGGCACTCCCACAACTTCCAAGGGCAAGTTGTTCCATTGGTTGATTGTTCTCACTGTCAGAAAGTTGCTCCTTATTTCAGTTTCCAAAAGAATCATTCATACTTTGTAAAGTTGCCATTATTCATGAGAACAGTCATTATTCAATTTAACTTATATTCACTCTTTTTCTCTTAAACAAATTTTTCTGACTTTATCTGACATACGCATTAATACCCTCATAAACTTTCTCCAAATCTGTACTCTTAAGCTGCCTTAAACTTATGATTACCAAATGCTCTTTCACCTTACTCTCTTTATAAAATATCTTTAGAGAGAACATTGCTAGATAGTTACTCGGGCTAATCTTTGTTCACACCTCCAACTAAATAACCACTGGTCACCTTTAAGTTATCTGCTATTATCTAATTAATATACATTGGTAATTTGTATTTACAATTGTTGATTTTTAATGGGAACAAAACAAGTTATCATCTTGAAGTTCATTCAGCACTGGATGAAATGTTAATGTGCTTATTCTAGAGTAGCACAAAATGTGCTGAGGCAAATCTTAGTTCAAATAATAGTTTTGGTTGGAAGCTCGAATCTAGATTGCAATTTCTTATGTAGACAGGAAGCATCATATTGGACAAGATTAAAATAACCAGAAGAAGTTTCATGCAAAGGTTTAACAAGATCTAAGAATTATGAATGAGTGGTTTTTCACTGTCATTGCTTTGCCCAACTGAGGTGATGAGTTTCATATTCTGTAGGAAATTGTTTCTGGGTGGAATGTGAAACAGGAGCATGATGGAAGCTGAAAGAACGATTTCACCAGCTTTTTGGTGTATAAAAAAGCAACACATTGCTTACAAAAGTATTCTTACTGACTTTTAATTGGCGGGGGAATTATGAATGCCTGTGAAATACTTGATACCCATGATGGTGTGTGCTTGACGGCTGTAGTGTTCCTTTGCTTCAAGCAATAAAAATGTTTTCTGCAAATCCTGACAGGACCTATTGAATTCTATTATTTAGCTATACAATAGTTCTAAAGTTCATTGATGAGCACCCAGAAATAATTGAGTGGGGAATTGAAATTTACCCAAGTTTTGTCTCAGAGCTTATTAGTATGAACACTATACATAGACCAAACATTTATGAATATTAGTAATTTCATTGAATACAAAATATTGGTTGGTTGAATTTGATAATAACAATAAAAGCCTCTTGCTTATATATCTTGATGAACAGAAGAATCGTCTAATTGTAGATGTCATTGGTTGTATATTTGTTTCCATATGTAGAAAGAAGAAAAGAATGAACAATATCATTTTTTTCAACTGGATTAATAGCATCCTAATTTCTTCCTGGAACTGACATCACCTTTATGCATTTGAGGACAAAACATATTTTTAGTAGGTTAAGTAAATTGAAACAGTGTGTTTGAAATATGTATATCTATAGAAATATTTTTGAACATTTAGAAGCCCCCACTAACAGCAAATCTGTATAGGATTTTTGTCTAGCCGAAGCTCTACTTAATCTACTAGTTCAGTTTACAAGCATCTTCTTCTATATTTCTAGAGCACATTTAATACCTGGACAAATTCTTACTCTATTTCTATTGATTTGATGCATTAGAATTCCTACAATAATCTGCTGTTTTTCTGCCAAATTAGCTCTTATCTTTTCCACTAGCAAACATTCCTTTCAAGATGAAGTATTTCTTCTTTAGTAGCAGTTTTAATTCTTTAATAACATTACAAAATGTCAAAAACAAAATGTAAATAATACTAAATAAACCACTTAATAATTATTTGCCTTTTTAAAAAAGAATGAAGTTTATATACGATTGAAATTTGTACAACACTTCAGAAAAGCCATCATGTGTTGGATTCAAAAATAAAATCAGAAGCATTTTTTATATATAAGTACACATGAAAAACTAGAAATAATCTTGGCTTTAGAAGCCTTTAAAAGTGTATGACCAGCTTTGTACTGATACCCATTTAACAAAGCAAAAATCAAAATACCATACCATATAAACAAAAGTGTACAATAAAGGACATTTTGAAATTTACACAAGAATTAGCCCACAAAGATTTTGGTTGTTCCATAAGAGTTATCTATAAAATGAACTTTAAAAAACCTTAATACAGCTGTCATCATTCATCACTATTTTTTCCACTTAAATGTACACAGAATACTTATATAGTAATATATACTGGTGTGTTGTAACATGGATATTATGATTAACTTGTTTTAAAAATGATAGGTGTACTATCCAATCAACATTATTGGTAATTTGAAGATTGAAATACCAATACAGTATGCATTCTCATCATATTGGTATGTATAAAAACATGAAAATATAATTTTACAATATTTTCTTTATATACATTAGTTCAGGCTTGACAAAGAAATATTTGTACATGACATTTTAAGAGAAGTAGGCCCAAGATACAATCAACATAGATTTTCTTGGAATGCATGAGTGAAATTATTATTTCTGTCAAAGAAAACTGATTGGGAATGGTATGTACATGTTACTTTAATTTATCATTGTTGAGCTGGACAATATTCATTTTCCTGCTTAGATATGAACAGGACAACTGTAGATTGTATTATCACACTTCTGAGTGGAAGGTTTACCATTAAAAAGTGCAACTTTGCTGGAATTTGACAAAAAGATGTTTTAAAATAAGTGGGTTTACAGTGGGGCCTGTAAGTATTTACCAAAAGTGGGGTGAGGGGTAAAATTTATTTAAAATTTACACTGTAGAATTTCTTATAATACTTGTTACAACATATGAACATTAAAGGAGAAGGGCAATCCCAGAAAAAAAGCTCTTTAGTTAAATCTGAGTCATTTATAACAAGGCTGAATACAAAATTATTATAATAGCTCTTGTTGCATTTTCAGAACATAGCAGCACCACTCTTACAGAATAAGATTTCTTTTTTCCAGTAGACCTGTTGTATCTAAAATTGTTCTAACGAAAAGGTGGGCCCACTTAGTTAAAACAACACTAGAAAAGCACTCACTGTAAAGATGATTAATTGAAATCCATTTATTATTACAAATACAGAACTCTATTTCAAAACTTAGGGTTATTATGAAAATGAACACAAAGGAGCATTGTCAAGGTTTTGTCCCTTCTATGGAACAAAATTAATTACCCAAAACCTTATATATCTCTCTCTCTCTCTGGATATTTTACTTTTTGATTTAAGAACCAACAGCAAAATGTAGAAATAACTCAAAATCAACCTTTCTGTTCTCAGAGATTATGATCATTGTTATATGGCACATTCTTAATCTCAGTTTCTCATTTCAGATTCAGTACAGAATATTGTCTGGCCTCTGTTTTCCTTTTCCAGATCCTATCAAAACAGTTTTGAAGGACCCACACTACTTTAAATCAAGATAAACTGTAAGAAGTTTGTGTATACTGTAATGGAATGTGAACCACAAAACATTATGCTGGGAAGTGGATGGCCAAGCAACAAATCACATTTGAAGTATGGATTGTGTTCAGAATGAAATATAGCAATTTTACCACAGAGATTAAGAGTAGCTGAACATTCCCCAACAACCTTGACAATATCCTTTTACATTTTAAATCCATTATAATCAAACTGTAACTAGCAAAATTAACAGGACTACTTGCAAATAAAACCATAGAAAAGAGTTTATTTCAAATGTTGACCATTTGCAAGTAATTTGATATTAACACCAAATGTTAAAGAATAGATATTAAGTAAATTTTAAGAACATTATTAAATTACAATGTTTTTGAATGTTTATTTTTGTATTTTATTCCCCAGCATTTACATATTTGGCTTTGAAAAACAGATACTAATATCTAAATCTTTTTTGTTGTTAATTTTCCATTCCTCCAGAGTTTAAATTCTTGTTTCATCAACCATAATGGAAGCAAATTTATTTAAAAGCCAGTTTGTCTGTGAAAATACCTGAAAATATTTTTTTCAATTTTATTTATTTTTCTTATAAAACATGTCACATCTTGATGCAATTGATGTCAAGTGTGCTTAAGTCATTATGAATAAGAGAATTGACAACGGCGACTGCAGAAATTGGTGTGTTGGTTGTACAACAATTTCAATTAGAATACAGTACTTCCATGTTAGCTATGCATGTCAGTCGAACTTTATCTTAAACTGGTGTAGAAAATGATGTTTGTGGGGTTTTTTGTACTAAGCATTTTTTTAACTATTCAAGATGAATTCCACAAATATGCATTCCTGCGGACAAAAATGTCTTCAAGGTACTGGATGCCTCTCACCACTTTGACAATTAATGCACAAGAAAACCATTGTGTAAGGCACTCAAAAGGTTCTTATCAA